AGCAGCCCGGCGGGCCAGAAACACCAACCCAGGGGCAGCGTCTGCTGAGCTGCTGGGGGCATTAATCAGCCTGCAGAGTGTTTATTGCTGGCGGTTATGCATGAAGAGGAAGGGCAACAGCTGCCTGGAATTTTCAGTTGAAGCCATTTTCCATCCTGATTTATTAATTCGAGGCTTCCACATGACCTGGGAAGAAGCGCTGCCTCTAAATCTGCATTTATTGGCTTTGTGGTTTTGTTTTTCTTTTTTCACTTAAGGCCAAGATCCAGCTGGCTGAGTCATTGCATCCAAGCATCTCTTGTTTTAACAGAAATGCCATTTCCAGCCAGAAAACTTCAGCAACTGCTTCTTCTTGATCAAAATGATTTGGCTGAGCGTTATGAACCCGTCAACATGCATCCAAACAGTGAGAAGACTTTTGTTTGGGAGAACAACTGCTTTATTCTCTTTATTACTTCGGTCTTTCACAGAAATAGAAAGAGAAAAGGTGAAAGAACACAGAGACCCCAGGGAACTCATAGCAAAGGGAAAAGAGAGAGACGGATTCTGCAGCAAGTAAAGAAAGAGAAAACTTTGCTAAGAAAGAGAAATCAAAACATTTGGGAGATAGGAGAGATGGCAGCTGGAGAGTGGGAGAAAGGCAGAACTTCTCCTGAGTCGCTCCTCTGATGGCTTTTCAGTGGCTTCCTGAGCAGCTGGAGCATTTCTTCCCTTGCATGATGGCCCCTACCAACCTGCAGCATCAGCTGTGGTTATCCCAGGCAGCAGTGAGGTGCCAGCTGGGCTGGGATGGAGCGCAGTGCTTTGGCTGGGGGCAATGCTCCGTGTGTGCCACAGAACCACAGAATGGATGAGCAGCACGGAGCCAATGGAGATCACCAGCACCCGATCATCTCTGCAGCCCCTCCGCAGCAGCTCCACGTCTGCCCTTTATTGGGGAGCCCAGGGCAGAGCAGAGGGGAGCAGCGCCTCCTCACCCTGCGGGCTGCGCTCTGTGCCGTGTGCCCCAAGGAACCACCAGGGCAGCCGATGGCTCGTGGTCGCCCCGCTGGCCACCAGGACGCCCAGGTCCTTCTCTGCAGAGCTCCTTTCCAGCAGCTCAGCCCCGTACCTGCACTGATATGTGAGGCTGTTCCTCCCCAGGTGTGTAACTCTTGCAAGATGATTGCAAAGAAGAGGAGTTTATCAGTGTCTTGTGCTGCTCACGTGCTCTGCACAGCTCAAAGGCGGTTATCTGGGCCAGCAGGCTCTGTCCTTTCTCAGCTTTCTGACCTCAGTCTCCCTTTGGCAATAACTAAGCCCACCAACCCCTCTGGTGTAAATCCCCCCAGCCAAGTGCAGTCAGCTCACATGCCAGGGTCCTTCCCCTGACCATCTGGGAGGCCAGAATGATGCAGAGAGGTTTGAGCAAACGTATGAATGTTTTAGGGTAGAGAGAGCTTTGAATTTGGAAAGCGACCTGTATGAACACAGTGCTGTGGTATGCTCTCCTCCAATGACTGGAATAGGTAAAAACTGAAATCACTGCTCCCTTTGTGCTGAACCGGTTCTTCTAACTTTGACAGAAGAGGTTCCTCCTTTTGCAGCAGATATCCATCCCAGAGAGCTGAGTTCCTGCAGAATCCCCATGACGACGAGGGTCTCAGTGGTGTATCACAGATGTGAAGTCACCCTGCCAGATTTCCAGCTCTGTGCCTGCAAGCACAAGCAGAGCAGAGCACATCCGTGCCAGAACCATCCCAGCTGCTGGAGTGGTCCCACCTCTGCCCTGCCATCAGCGCTGCCATGCTCTCGAGCTGTCCTCACTTCAGGTCACCCACTGGGAAAGTTGGGAGGATATGAGAACAAGGAGTGAGCATGAGAAGAGCCCAGCTCTCTTGCTGCCAATTGATAGCATGAAAAAATAGATACTGGCTTAGCAGTTTGCACTGCTGCTGTCAGAGCTGCCTGTGCCAGTTCTGCTCAATCACAGCATTTTGGTGCATCGCCTGCTCTCATTCCAGCTGGGAGCTCCAAGCTGCTTCCTTCCCTCTGTGTGCAATGCCAGAGATGGGTGATGAACCAACACAGGAGGTGAGCGGATGGGGACAAGGCCCAGGGAAGGAGGGCATCCCTGTCAGCACAGTGGCACAGCTCAGGGCCGCCCAGAGCCTGACCTGATTCTAGAGGCAAGGACTGCCTCAAATGCCAGATCTGGGTTTAGGTTGCCACCAGCGCTCAAATTCTGGTCAATTCTATTTGAATGGCCAAAGGCAAATACCTCAATAATATTGTGGCCTTATTATTTTTTTTTCTGCTAATTTAATTAGGAGCTTGATCCGGTTTTGGGGAAGGACACAAAGTGGATTATGGGAGCAGTTTGCTCTTTAATTGGGGTCATTTACCCTTTGTTAAAGTTTAACCTTTGCCTGCAGGGCAGCCAGGTCCTGCTGCGTGGCCGGGGATGCTCCAGCCCTGCTTGAATCCCACTGCAAAGCACCAAGCAGCAATTGTGTGACATGGCTATGTACAGAGAGCAAGAACTGGAGGGTAAATGTTTATTTACACTGCGATGCCTCACCTGCTGCTGGCTGGCTGCGCAGCGAGGCTGAGCCCTACTCCTTTTGCAGCGGTGCATGACCAAAGCCCTTGTCTCCTCCCTGTGCTCACATATGCATTCCCCAGGATTAATTCTGCAGAAATGAGCATGGCTGGGGCTCAGGCCCTGCAGCCCCTTCTGGTCCCATGTCCTCTTGGCGGACGTCCTGCCCCCGTCCCCAGCTCTCAGTGTAACTCACCACCGGTCAGAGGCACAGACTGCAAGGCCAGGCGTGCCAAGGGTAAAGGAACTGTCACTGCTCTGCCTGACGGACACTCATTCACAGCAATGTGGGATGGGGCAGAGCAGCGGATGGGAGCTGCTGAGCCTCTTGGATTCATTGCTAAGCCGGCTGGAAGATAACAGCCACGCTGCTCTGCCTGCTGACACAGCAAAGCCATCCCCATGCAGTGCTACAGCAGCCATGCATCCCATCACCACGAGCAGTGTGGTTTCTCCTCACAGCAGCAGCAGGCAGTGCTGTCTGCCAGTGCTCCCAGCACAGGGCAAGGGCAGCCCCTCTGTCCTGTTGGATGTTTCTGGCAGCAACACACGTCTCCTCTTTACTTGCTGGAGTGTGTTACAGACCTGTTGTAACTGAGAGCTGAGAACCCTGCCACCGTCCTCTGTAACAGATCTCTCTTTCGTGATTTCCAGCCCTCCTTGTTTCCTGAGGCGTGGACAGGTCCTAAATTTTGAGGCAGGACAAGAGCTGCTGATCAGACAACAGCATGCTGCACCCTGCATCCCTACAGCACCAGCTCTCAGGGATGGTAAAGCGGGATTCAGCAGCAGATCCTTCTTCCCTCGTGCTGGCAAAGCTGTGAGGAGGCAGCTTTGCTCTCCCTAAACCAATGGGGAAGCTGAGTATCTCATGCAGATCTGTGCAAGGGAACCTGCAATGCACCCACTGGTACCTCGAGCACCCAGCAAAGGACACCAGAAGGAGTTTGCACTGTGTGTACCATTTTATTTTCAAATATATATATATATATTACATCACTTTAAAACAGAATATTTGTGAAAGGAAAGGATTTTGTGGTAAAAGCAAACCTGCCGTGTCCCTGTATCTGCAGGCAGCTCCTTCCCCAGCTCACCACAGACCCTGCCTGCTCCTTCCTCCCCTCCTGCTGCCAGAGAAGATGCCTGCAGTGCAAGGCACACTTTGTTGGTCCACGGTGTGCCCTGCTGTGCTGGGAGAGAGCAGGGCTTCCTGCAGGGATGGGGAAAGGAACTGGGGAGCGAGCTGTGAGGAGCACCGTGTGCTTCAAGTATGTGGTGTGCTCTGCAGGAGGCTGAACTGGGCACAAGCACCAAGGATGCTCTCTGGGGTGGGAGGGTGGGTGAGGGTTGTGGCTCAGTGCAGGGTAGGGGGGTGCTGACCAGCAAAGCTGAAATCAGCCTCCTCCATCCAGCAGGGAAGGCCAGGGTGGTGGGCAGCCCGCATTGCCTCCAGGTGCTCAGTCAGAGCTCTTCCTCCAGCTCTTCCTCCAGCCTCTCACCCCCTTGTTACAGACCCGTTACAACCTGGATGAAATCCCAGCCCCAAACACACCCTTCTGCTTGAACCCAGTTTTCTGTCTGGGCTGTGCTCCCTTAGCACCTCTTCTAGGCACAAAGAGCCCCTCACCAGAAGAACTCCTTTTCCTCCCTAAATTCTTCCCATGCAGGGACTCAGCACTCCTCTCTGCAAGCCCTGGGGTGCAGCTCCTCCTGCAGTGACTGCAGCCATCCAACCCCACAGATCAGGGTCTGTCTGCAGAGGGGATGCAGCACTTGACTTCCCCCCCTGCACAAAGCAAACCATGCATTGGCACTGCTGAGTGCTGAGCATCAGAGCTGCTCCTTCCTGAAATGCAGGCCCACCATGGGCTGTTGAAAAGCAGCATCCCTGCCCACCAAACCCCAAAGTGATTCAGTCACTTTGCTCACACTCTTTCCTTCCAACTGTTGTGCCCACGTGAACAACCTTCTCCTTATGAAAGGCCACAGCAAAGCCTTCTCACCTTCTGCTTTCATTTCCCAGCTAAGAGTTTCCCACCAGGGGAGGAAGGCAAAACGTGGCAGCCATACCCCATAGCACCACAGCAGCTGGGAAGGTGACAGGAGGAGCATCCACTATGCACAATGCCACCTGTGGCTGGTTAAACACAGCTTATGCTGCCTAAAACCATGATTCCGCAGCACTAAACGTGCTGACCCAGCCTTTCAGGGAGCACCTGGACTTATCCTGAGAACCTGCAGGAGCCCAGCAGTGCTTTTGCTGCATGTCAGACTCCCAGCTCAGCACCGAGCAGCGCTGCTGTCACCCAGCAATAGGACACAGGGCTACAGGGCAGCACCCAGCAATGCTCCCAGTCCAAGCCTGCTGGGTGCCGGGGGTGAGGAAGGCAAGGAGAGATGAGAGCAGAGGGAGACAATGTGCTGACATCGTGAGGCAGTCCTCCCTTTAATCCCCTGAGAAAAGAATATATGGCTAGGAATGGAAACTTCCCTTCGTTCAGCACCAAGGTTAAAAACTCCCTTCTCAGTTCTGGTATCACAGACTGCATCAACGCTTGATCATCTACCACAGAGCTGAAAAGTCTCCTTTATTTAACGTCCCCTGGCCTTACACTGAATTGGGTTCAGAAGGTGAAGCCCTTCAGGAAGATGAAGATAACTTAGGGCTGTTTATGTGCTCCCTTAGAGTTCCCAGAGTGTGTTGGTAAAGTAGTGAACAGCGTAATGAGCAGACATGTACTGCTTTCTTCCCGAGGTCCTCTGCAAAAAGTCCTGCTGGAACCAAAGCAAAGCAGCCAGCGAGAGCAGTGGGGCATGCAGATAACGGGGCTGATTGAGAGAAAAGGAAAATAGCAATTAGTCGTTCACAGCGGCAGAGAAGCTCCATCTGGCGGTGTTCTCACCCACAAATGAAGGTGGGGACGGGGACCTGCAGGCTGTCTGTGCTCCCACCAGTCAGGGAATATCAAGTTCTGCTTGAGGCAGTGAAGCAGTGACAGGATGGCAGATGAAGCTGCATGGTTAAATGCAAAGAAGTGCACTTGCAAAGGGGACAAATTGACTGCAGAGCATCTGCACGGCTGCAAAACCTGGGCACAGTGCACTGCAGACACTCAGCACTTCAGGATTACAAGGAAAGCAACCAAGACCGATAGATAAAGAGGAATATAGCAAATATTTTAATGTCCTTCCAGTGAGTGCAGTTCAGGGCACTCCGCCAGGGGCAGGGATACTGCAGACATGGGGTTGGAGTGATGAGCACAGGAAGACCCTGATACAGAAAGAGGCTGAAAAGTTTCATTAAAACACAGAAACCTGAGGAATATCAGTGGTATAAAATTATGGCCAGTCCTGCAAGGCTGCCAGGTGTCCTCTGTGCTGGGGCAGAGCAGTCCCAAGACATTGAGGACAAATCTGAAGACAAGGGTAAGAATCAGTGCAGGGAGGTGATATGAAAGGTTTTACAAACAGAACAGACAGGCATCCATTAGGAAATGCCCCTGTTGGGGGGACAGGAGGGCTGCCCTGGGCCCACCATTCTCCCCCTGGCTCCCATGAAGGCTGCTCAGGGTGTGCTGCTGCTGTCTGTAAGGGTGCAGCCCCACAGGGATCCCCCTGCAGCAGGAGGAGCCCCAGCACAGCCCCACTGCTCATCGTAGGGCTCCTGCTGAGCTGCCCTGGGAGTGTGTGATGCTGGTACAGGGTGGGTTTGGCTCAGAGAAGGCCATCACAGTTTCAAACCTTAAAGAGTTGCCTGGAGTAAAAGGAACAGGGCTGAGCAAGGCAGTTAATGCTGGGATGTGCTGGGATGCTCTCCCTATTTTGCAGAAGTCAGAAAGATCTGAGATGGGCGAGAGGAGCCAGCTGCCCTCCCCCCCAAAGCTCATCTTCAAGCATCAGCCATGAACAGAACAAGGTCGGGCCACTCACCAAAGAAGCCATGCATGCACAAGGCTGTGTGCTGCTCCCAGCTCAGATGTGCCCTGGGATCCCTGCACCTCCAGCCCAGCTCCTACAGTGGGAGCAGGGACACGGTGGTGCAACCCCAGTGCCTCCTACTGGCAGCGAGGGACACCCACTGGTCCCAGTGGGCAGCATGCAAATGTGCTGGATAGAAATAGCCAGCAGAATGGGAGGAGGGCAGGCTGCTTGCACCCACTGCACGCTGCCCCACAGCTTTTTAGTGTTTGGAAAACCACTGATGCTCCCCAGGCCTGCTGGCACACAGCTCTGGGCGTCACAGTGGGGCTGGGGAGCAGGCAATGAGGCACAGCTGCACCCCAGGACCTGTGCCTGCCCTGGGGAGCTACAGTGTGGGTTGAGCATGGGCAGCCTGCTGGTGTCATGCATGTTCCCACCATCAGGTAGCCAGTGTGGTTCTTAAAGAAGGTAAGGGATGCTTGTTATAAAGAAAGAGAAGGCTCAAGTACTTGGGCTCAGGAGCAGAGGAAAGACGAAAGCAAACCCCACACTTTCTAATGCTGGCTCGCCCCTCCAGTGATTTGCAGACAACACAACCGAGGTTGGAATCCCTCCTCAAATACAGGCACAGTGTGGGATGGAGCCATCAGCCACGGGGAGCTTTGCGCCCACCCCAGGAGCGCCTTAAGAACAGCACAGAGCAGACACAGCACACACAGACAGGTGCTCTCACGGCAACGCGTCGGTTCCTGCAGAGCAGCCTGATCTGCTGCCTCACTGCTGTGTGCCACGAGGTCTCAGCGCCGCTCTGCCCTCAGCAGCCCAGCAAGGCACCAAGCAGACAGCAGAGCCGATCCCTCTCCTCCCCGCTGCCCCTCTCTGCAGCTCCCAGTGGTGTCTCCTGGGCGGCACGGCCCCGTGTCCTGCAGTGGGAGGCTCAAGGGTCCACGCTGCTCTCTCTCTCAGAGGTCCCTTGAATGCCCCTCTCCTGTGAGATGTCACCGCGGAGCAGAGGTTTGAGAGAGAGCTCGGCGGGACCCCCGCCTCCACCCCACGGCGGTCAGGGCCTGAAGAAGCGTCGTACCACTAAATGCCCCACCATCACCAGGGCCAGCACCGCCAGCATGTACTTCATGTAAACATTGTCCAGATCGAGTGCAGCCACCTGACAGAGGGAAACAGAGCAGAGCGCGTGAGAAGTGCCTGCCTCCTGCCTGGACCACACTGCGCTCTGCTCCCATCTCCTGCTGGATCCCACCCACCCCCCTCGGCCCCGTCCCCTGGGCGCAGCGCCCTCGCCTCACCCATCCTCCCTGCTGGGCGATCCACCGCGCAATGCGGTTGCGCAGCATGAAGTCGGTGACGTAGCGGGCGATGCGGCGCAGGAACCCCGTGATGCCGTGCTGGTAGACGTGGATGGCCATGCAGTAACCGAAGCCCAGCAGTGCGATCACCCGGCCCCAGTTTATGCCGCTCTCAAACAAGCTGAAATGAAGCCAATGGTCGGGTTACAATCCCTCCTTGGGGGAGGACGCCCTGCTTGGCTCCATCCCTGCGCTGCCCAGGGCTCCCAATCAGCGTGGGCTGCAGGGCAGAGCTGAGAGTGCTGCGCTGCTGGAGGAGCATCCCAACAGCACAGGGAAAGCAGTGGTTTTGTGGCTATGCACTGCATGGCCACTGATCACCTCACGTGCTTTAGGAGCACAGCCACCACAGTGTGGGCCAGCATTGCTTGGCTTGGCCAGGTCTCTGAAACTCAGCTCAGATGAAAACCTGGGGATGGCTCTGGGGTTCTGCACACCCCACACACACGTCCTGCCCTTTACCCCCGGGCTGCATCCCAGCACAGGGCAGAGCTGTGGAGCTGTTTGGGATTGTGTTACACAGGGTGAGCTGCACCCGATGCCAGTTTAAGCCATCAGTCTGCAGGCTGCAGTGTGCTACACATGCAGCCAGGATCAGGTTTGCAACCCATGTGCACACAGCATCCCTTGCTTGTGCAGCCATACCCAGAGGCAAGAACGTTTATATAGATCTAGGGCAAATGTGTATTAGAGCAGGATTTTCCCTTTTCCTGCACAGACAAATCTCTCCAAGACCAACTGATCTGACCTGCAGCGATGCTCCCAAGGGCTGGGGGTTCACAATACACTCAGTGCCTACTGCTCCTGCTCCCAGTGTCAGCTGCTGTGCACAAACTGCATCACTGTGTGCAGATTTGGCACTGACCTGGGAGTTTCTGGTTTCCAGCTAGGTTAGCAAGAAGGAAAAGAAAAGAAAAATAAAAGGGAAAAAAGAAGAAAAGTAATAGGAGGCTCCGGCCCTGTGTTGTAACCTGGTGCTGTCATGGCTGTCCCTGCAGGGCTGCGCCGGTCGCAGGGGGAAAGGGAGTTCAGAGCCTTGGATGGAGCACGAGGACACAGGAGCACCAAGGGACAGAGGTTAATTTACCTGTTTGCGGTGCGTTAACCGCCTCAGGGTGGCAAACAGCGCAGCATGGCTTCCCAGGGAGAGGGGAGCAGGAAAAGGACAGAAGAGAGGCAGTTAGACAACACACACCGAGCGGAGGGGCGCGGGGACGGGGCTGCGCCAGACCCAGGGACCCCTGCAGGGGTCTTCTGCAGGACCCTGGGTGAGCCAGGTGGCCCTATGGGCAAAATGCAGGGAGAGGGACGAGGGCTGAGCCCCTCAAAGCACAACTGGAGCTTCCACAGGCCGCTTGATGGGGCCAGCATGAGGCCTTTGAGGCTGCAGAGCAAAGCAGCCCAGGACACAGACTGAGGCTGTGCCTCGTGCAGTACGGGCAAAACGTCGTCTGGGTGTTGCCTCCAGTCTTCACACTGTTGCTAGAACATCCACACTTGGCCATGCTTCCCAACCCAAACTTTCTGCCCCCAGGCAGCTCGTGCAAGGGCTGCCAAGGGGACGGTGAGTGAAGAAAGTGCAACAGGAACAAGAGCAGACAGGCAGAGAACACAGGAACCGTAACGGTGAGCTCAGTCAGAGCTCAGGGTGGTGATGTGGATGAAGTTGGAACAGATGGAGCCCACGCATTGCAGGGGGCAGCTGCTCCAGGCTGGCTTTAAGGTTTTAATGAGCCGCAGTGCATCAGTGCCACCTTCCCTCCCGGAGGCGTGCTGCCTGCTGTCTCACCTGGAGGCTATGGTGGTGAAGTACTCGTAGGCATTCTCCTTGGTGGGCTGCAATGACTTCAGCATGTGGCGGAACTCCGCGTCGTACCGCTTGTTGATGTCATCCCCGATGATGGCCAGGCGCCTGCCCACCTGGCTCCCGGTGCTGCCGGGGGGAAGACGGGCTGTCATGGGCACGGACTGCTGAGCAGCCGGGCTCAGGTCGGGGCTGGGGGTGCAGATTTTACCTGCCCAGCTCCTGCTGGATCTCCATGATCTCCGGGTCCATGGGCACCTCCTCCCCTCCCTCCTCTCTCTCCTGCTGGTAGCGGTAGAAGGTGTAGCTCCGGAACACCTCCTCGGTCTGCTGGGCCACCTGGTCCTCTGAGAGAGGCAAGGGGGAGAGAAGTCAAGAGGCAGCTCGGCTGCTGCTTTCCCCAGGTTGGAAAGAGGCCACGCAGGCTTTTCCAGCCTAAATTTGTGCCGGCGTGTCTAAATCTCTCTCTAAATCTCTCAAGCACCCTTGGTGGCTCTCCTATTCAGCCTGCACTTCGAAAGCCAAGGACAAGTGACAAGAGCACCCACACGCATCAGTAATTCCAACTCAAACAGTTCTACGTTTTACAACCCTATCAGTTTATGAGATGTAGTGGTGCCCCATCCCTAGAGACACCCAACTCAGGGCTCTGTGCACCCAATTGAACCGTGGGTGTCTCTGTTTGTTGTAGGGAGTGGGACCAGATGGCCTTTAATGGTCCCTCCCAACTCCAAACCACCCCATGATTCAATGCCACTTCTACCCTTGGCAGTTGCAGGAAATGGTTTGGGTTCATGGCTGTAAATGTTTGGAAAGCAGAAGGTAAAACAAAAGCAGTCTGACATATATTCATTCTCAGAAAGGTGATTTTGAAGTCACCCTTGAGGGCACGTACCCACATTTTGAATGCTTTTTTTTGGCAAGACAACAGGACTGTTACCACACAAAGCTGACCTTCAGTGCTGCACTTGGAGCTCTGTCCACACGCCAGCATTTCTCAGTGCAGAACGGTTCAGCACAGTGCAGGAATCCCAGATCCAACCCCAACCAGGAGCCAGAGCTCCATGCAGCATCCCTCAGCAAACAGCACGGGGCTGCTTCTTTTTAAATGCCACCATTTAAAAGTACCCCTGCATGGCACCAGCAGCGACACGGTGACCAAAAGCTGAGCTGCTGATGCCAGCATGCTGGGGGGCACATCTTGTGGGCAGCACTCAATCCCCATAGGGGTGGGAAGGAGCTGAAGCTCCAAGGGGTATCTGAGTCCAAAGGGATGCGGTGCTCACACAGCACACAGAAAGCTCCTGGGTAAGTACCTGGGGTCATGGCATGGCTCTGATCGGAGCCATGTGTTCTGAACTGAGAAATAAAGTGCTCACAGCACTGCATCCCCGGCAGCCATAAGCCCAGGGTTTGGAGGAATCACCTCTCAGGTCTCATGAACACGCTTTTCCCATTTTCTTTCTCCAGAAGCACACAGCAGACCAACAGCAGCACTGCTGCTCAGCTGCAAACCCAGTAGAACCCTGCCCCAGCACCCAGCACAGCCACCTGCCGTGCTGCACACACAATTCTCTGTCTGCTTACGCTTCCAGCACAGAGATGCTCCTTCCTGAGCCACATCCCAGCACTGGGGCACAGCATCCTGGCAGCCCCATCAAACCCCGCAGCCTGCCCACGCCATGCTGGTCACTGCAGTGTGACACTGTCCTGCCCCATGTGCAGCTCCACGGGGACAGACCTACCTGGGTGGGTGCAGGGATAGGAGAGGACTGCCGTGCAAAGCTCGGGTTGCACAAGCTTAGGCTGTGTAAATAAAGGTGAAGGGAAATGACGAGCACTGGTGGCTGTGTTTTCAGAGAGGGTTTGTTTGGCGATAAACGAATCCCACCTTATGGAGGAGTGCAGCACAGGGCAGTGAGCAGAAAATGAAACCGACTGAGTCACAGTTTCATGAGAGGCAGAGCAAACAGCCTGCAGGAGCAAAAGAGGAAATAAGCGTACCCAAAAATCCCTGCTCTAACCACCCCGGGCACTATTTTTAGTGGTACAAGGACACCTTGGATACATGACTGCAGCAAGAGGTGCGGCTGTTTGCACAATGATTGGTACCCCAACCTGGAAACATCAGCTCCGAGGGGAGAGGACAGCTCTTCATCTATTGGTGCTGCAGATGGGCACTGCAGGTGGTTTAAGCCCCTCTGTGGAATCTGAGAGCCCCAACCGAAGCAGCCAGGACCCTCCTTCCCCCGCTCCATTTGCAGGTGGTTTTGGAGACGAAGACACGGATTACTCACAGATGTGTGACTAACACCCCCTGAGCAAGGATTTATCAACTGCTGACTGACTTCACGCGCAGTGCCAAGTCCACAGCAAAGATAAACAGCGAAGGACCAAGCCTTACAGCCCTCCAGCTATGTATGTGAGCATCAGACACAGGCAGTGAGACAGCCCAGGTTAATGTCAGGAAGAGCTGAGCACTGCAGGCTGTGTTGGATGGATGGGCTTTCCAAGCACAGCCCTGCCAGCCCTGCAGAGATGTGCAGCACATCTTTCTCCATCCCACAACACTAACAGACACAGCAACACATCCACCTCTCTTAACAAAGCCCTGCGCCATTCTGGCTGAGGTGGTCCACAGGGAGATATTAAATGAGACCACATGGACTCATTCTTCCTCCCTGCAGGGAGGCACACTGCACTGCATGAGAGTTAGCCATGCCCATGGGCTGTGCCATTGGTCTGAGCCTCAGCGTTGGTACGCAAAGCATTCCCAGAGCTGTGCTGAACAGGGAAGCACTGCCAGCCCCAGCTCACAGCTGGGAAATGAAGCAGGGTGAGGTGAATGAGTGCTTCTTGGAAGCAGAAGCCAACCTCCCCAGCTCAGCTCAGCGCTGTTCTGGAGAGTTCCCTTCCCTTGACTGGGCTGCCCATGAGCCAAGCTCCTCCTCTCCATCACATCCTGCTGGGAGCACAGAAACCCTGTCTTCACCTGCAGCACTCACAGCTCCAAGAAGTGCAGACTGCCACCCAGCCTGGAAACAGCAGCACTTCATCCTGCTACCAGCAACACCCAGCACAGCAAGGGCTCAGGACAACACTCACACAGCATACGGACAAAACCCCGTGCATCCACAGGCAAACAAAACAAGGCAAGCAGGCGAGCCCAAAGGCATCACCCAGGTGACAAAAGCCTTCTTGCACCCAAAGTCCACAGCACCAGTGGGAGCTGCACGTTCCCAGTGCACAGCAGCCCAAGCACAGGATCCCACCGCAGGTCCTGGCAGCCCCTTTTTGGGCAGCGGGCTGTGCAGGAAGCACAGCTCACAGCAGTGTGGTTAGAGTTCAGGGCCCGATCCTCTCACTGGTTTTAACAACAGCATCTCATTGGCCTCAAACAGGAAATCGCATACGTAAACAGCTCTGCTCATTTATTTGTTTTTATGCCTCGTAGACCTTGGTAAGGGAAGGACGGCTTTGTCTCCTGCACTGTGCTCATGTGCGATCCAGAGCTACTGATGGAGAGGGCCATGCCAGGGTACAAACAGCCCCATCAGGCAATAAAGCAGCCCTGAGCCAGGTCTGAGCTCGGATACATAAACAGTGAGGGAGGGCTTCTAATCTCTGCTATTGACAGAGCTGCAGTGACTCACGTTATTTACAGGTCCACCTGCAGAACAGGTTAAGAAGTCACTCGTATCGAAAAGCGCTCTGTGCAGCAGCATTTTATCACTGGGGGACGAAAAAGGAGCTGAGGTTTGTGCCTGGTTCCTTTCAGCCCTGCTCCCAGTTTCACCCATCGGCGGGCAGCAGCACTGCAGTGCTTCCCAAGGCACAGCACACCTCCTGCACCCTGCAGCCAATGCAACACGACTGAGAGCAGCTGCTGGAGGCAGCACCGCACATCCCCTGCGTGCTCGAACCCTCAGACACCTTTCCCTCACTTGTGTTCATGGAAGGAAAAGTAAATTGCAGCTGGCATCTGCGGCACAGAGAGCCCTATGTGGCTACACTGAGCTCCCAGCACAGCTCCCAGCAGCTCCCCATGCTGTTTGCTCCATGCTCTGTGCTCCCCCCTGCACAAATCCATGACACCCAGCATCTCCCACCAGCACGTGAGCTCAGCGTTCCATTCTGCAGACCTTTATAAGCTGATGGATCACCCCAGCCTTACAAAAAGCCCTGGAGGTACGGAATGCTGCCTTTTACAAAGAAGCACGTGCCAAGAACATTTCAGCGCGCTCCCTCCCCATGAATATCACGTCCCCCTTTTTTACCTGAATTGGTCTCTCGTGACGGCCTGCGCCCATTGCTGCCCTGGCGTCCGTGGGCCCCGGGTGGGTCCCCCTCATTCCCTTCCATTGCAGAGATGCTGTGGGACTCAGCGGGACCTGCAGGGGTAGAGGCAGGACGTGAGGAGGGCACAGCAGCACTCGGCATTGCGCTGGGATGAAGGCACAGCCCAGCACAGGGAGCAGCAGCTCCGCAGGGCACCCGGAGCTCAGCAGCGGAGCTCTGCTCCTCCACAGCAAACCAAGCCACGGCTGCAGCAATCGCTCCTCGCAGGCAGCTCTGCCTGCCTTTCCACAGCTCCTACAAAAAACGAGGTCTCTCCTTCCCTACATCCAGAGGCTCCAACTTCCCATGTCATTATGCATTCCGAGCTCCCCTGTGAACGAGAAAATTAAACGGAGTGCAGGGCTCCAGCTGCCCCCAGCCATCCCAAACTGTACCTGTGCTGAGGGCTCTGCAAAACACTCATCTGCTGCTCTGCTGCCCGCTGCTCGCTCTGACGTCAGCCCTGCTTTCTGCAGGGAAGGAAGTGGGGCCACCTGCCTAAGTCAGGGCTGGATCCCTGCGGCTGCTCGCCTTTTGTTCAGCATGCCAGTACATGTTCTGAGGCCAGAGCTCAGACAGGGCCGAGCTGGTGGGTTTTCTGCTTTGCACCAGCTTGAAATTCACAGAGACCCATTGGCACTCAGTTCAAAACAAACCCTGGCAAAATTTAAGTGCTGGTTACAGGAAAACAACCAACTATGGCAAGGTCAGAGGTGCAACACCCAGTCCAAGCTCGCAGATAAAGATTATGCAGAAGGAAAAAAAAAAACAACAAAAAAACAAATTGAGATCATAAACCAGAGTGTGAAGTGCATCCAGGGTGGGGATGGGGGCCTGGAAATGCAAACCGGCTCAGCAAGCTCTCACATATTGCTGCATTCAGGGACTCTGAGCCCTGCTGACACACAGATGGAGGGGCTGTTTTTTCCTACACGCCTACAGGGACAGGATTTCCCTTTTCCTCCCCAACCTCAAACATCCCCAACCAAGGAAAAGCTGAGGGCATGCTGAGGATCAGCAGTGGGGTCCGTGGGGTGGGAGCAGAGCTGGGTCCTGGGGCCGCCCCTCTCCTGCTGCTCCCTGCTCAGGGAAGGGCTGTGTATGGCAGCTCCACGAGATGCAATGCCCAGCAAGGCTAAAATCACAGCTCACCTTTCGTCTGAAGGCTGCAAGGAACAGCCTGGGAGCAGTTCTGTTAGCTCGTGGATAACCAAAGGGGGATGAATTCCTTCTGTGCCTCATGGCTGCACAGAGCGCAGTGCTGGCTGTGGACACATCCAGCATAGAGCCCAACTGCTCCAGCACACCTACAGCACAGCCTATTGATGCAGCTGGTTGTGTTTCACCTCAGCCCACTGCCCCCAGCCCAGAGCTCAGCACCAACGCGGGGAATTCCCCAGCATGGAATTTCTGGGTGACTCTGACAGCTCAACCTGCATGAGGTCTGGTGAGCGCTAGCATGCAGTGCCTGTGAGCAGCTGACTCATGTGATTCCTCACTTGCTGTCTGCCAAACCCTTAGGAAGCAAATGTGGCAAGCTGCAACTAGGCCATCACTTCAGAGGAACTTTCATTTTCAGTTTCCTTCTCAAGATAGGTCCTTGCAGCACTTTCCTCTCTTGCACCGTGGGGCACCGTGGGCCCTTTTGCACGTATCCATGCGTCCCCATCCCCAAAACTCATCCCCAACACTCTTGCAAAGCACAGGAATGCCCATGGCAGTTCACTGTGGGTCTGCTGGGGGCACAGCTCGGCCCTTCCAGTACCAAAGGCACTGCAGCTTTTATTTTGCCTGCATCCCGGTCCAACATCCCTTTGGTTTGCCCCATTTCCTTTTTTGTTATGGGAATGCCATGCCAGAAGGGGTGTATAGGAGGATACGACACCCACATACTCAAAGACAGCCCAAGGCTGCACAAAATGAAGGCAATGCAGGGCTGGGAGCTGCAGGTCACTACCAGCAGTATGCAAGTCAGCAGCTGCTCAGAGACTCATCTCCACCCCAGCTTTTTGCACTTGTAGGGTTAAAAGAGTTAAAAGACACAGCTAGCACCTAGGCTTTGGATTTAGAAATCCTTCTGCCATGGCACGAGAATCTTATCTTTATTAACACGCACATAGCAGGCGAAGAATCAACCTTCCTGCAGGCTTCCCTCATAAAAAAGACCTTTGCCTCAACTGTTTCTCATTTTACCCTCGTTCCCTTTGCTTAAAGGTCTCTGACACACATCCTGCGTGCCCCCATGACATACTCATCACTCAACTTCTCCCAGCTTTTCTCCAAAGGAGAATTCCTGGGTGCCAGGAAGATGCTGGGAACAGCCGGGGGGGGGGGGGAGGTGGGTAACGGGCTGGGCCCTGTGAACAGGCCTGGTTATGGGGCACAGCACTCCCCCTCCGGCCTTGATGTGCTAGGAAGATCCTGTTCGGGGAAACGCACGGAGCATCCTCTGGGAGAAGCATTTCACAGGCCTGGTCCCCAGCCCAAGCACGGAGCCACACAGGGGATGCAAAGTGTGCACACATGGGACCCCTGTGCCCCACCAACTGGCCCTGCACGGTCAGAGCTGGCCCTGCTCCTCCCGCCTGACCCAGACGAGCGAAACAGATGAGTTTGTCTCGATCTGTGCCTCCCCCCCCCTCCCCCGGTTCAGGGTTCGGCCCTCGAGCCCCCACCGCCCCCCTCCGACGTCCAGGCACTGCGGGCAGGAAGCGCGCAGCCCCACGTGCGATGTCCGCGCTGAGGTCACGGCCCGGAGCGGGGACAGACGTGGGGACGGACAGACGGACATCGGCACGATGCTCAGTACGGCTGTGCCCTTCTCCCCACCGGGCCGCCCGGCCCCAACCGCGGGGATGCCGTGGGAGGGAAGGGGGGGGGGGGGGGAGATAGGCAAGGAGGGCTGTCACCTCTGCGGCCTCACGAGGGAAGGAGAAAAAACAAGAACGACCCCCCAAAACCTGGAGGAAATATCACGAAAATGGGCAATATTTGCTCTTCGGGGCAAAACTCAGCGCGGGGCGATATCCCCCGGCCCGGCTCTCGCTGCGGAGCTCTGTGCGCTGTAACCCCCGCGGCTCTGCCCTCCCCCCTCCCCCCTCTCCCCCCCGACGCCGCTGTACCCCCGGACCCCCTCCGCACCTCCCCCTCCTCCGGCTCACGGAGCGATCGGCACCGCCCGGCCTGGCCCTGCGGCGTGGAAAAGCGCATCATCTCGGGGTGGGGGGCACCGGGGGTTCCCCGCTACTCACCGTGTCCCGGCGGGGACCAGGCGGGCCGGGGGGGGGATCCCGGCGAGCTACTGCATCCCCCCGGGGAGCTGCTCCATCCCCGCCGCCTCCCTTCCTGCCTCCTCCCGGCGCGGCGCGGGGGAAGGAAGCGAGCAGGGCCGGGGAGGAGGAGGGAAAAGGAGAGAGAAAAAAAAAAAAAAAAGAAACCCAACCCCAGACCATAGATGTAGAAGGGAGCCGGGCGGGGCTCAGCTCCCTCTAGAGGCGCCTTGCACCACCCGAGCGTGGGAAAGGGGCTGCGGGGCTGCGCGTCGCGGCTCGGGAGCGTGGGATGCTCGGGGGTGTCCGAGGGATCGAGGTCCCCCGAGCTGCGCGACAGGGGACACGCCGCTCTGCAGAGCCTGCACGGGCGAAGGGAGAGCAACGCACCTCTGCATCCCGATTCTGCGTGTCCCTGAGAGCCGCCCTGCCTCTTCATGGGGCGTCCTGAGCTGCTTCGGTCTGGGAAGGCTGCAGCTTTTGAGCGCGGTTGGTTTCCTCTCTGCCAGGCATCCTCGGGAGGGCAAAGTGCCCTCGCGGAGTCATTGGACCATTTCCAGTGGGGAACATCCCCGTGGAGCCGCCAGGTAAAGAAGGGTTGGCGGCGGTGGTGATTCACAGAGTGACTGAGGAGATCCGAAATCCACCTAGATTGGGAAAAAACCTGGGCGGCCAGAGGGGGAGAGGGTGTGATTCATGCTGGAGAACGAGATAGCTCAGCAGGGCTGGCGTTGGCTCGGCACCAAGCTGCCCCAGCTGCCCTCATCCGCGACGCTGCCAGAGCCTTTGCTGGCAAACGCCAGAGAAGAAGTTTGGGGCCTCTATGAACGCTTGACTGCTTGTGATCAATTCAGCTGTCTGCCCCGTGCCCTGGGACGGCGTGCCCTGTGGGATGCTCGGGAAGCTGAGCTGGAAGATTCGTTGAATCCCGGATGTGTCTGGCTAGGCTTTGCTGGCAGAATGACTGCAGAGGGCTCAGCCCTGGCTCCAGGGGTGTCCTGGACAACAGAGGAGGGCTGTGGAGGGCAAAGCAGTGGATGCCTGCAGTGATGGAGGGGTAGGGGACAGGACACCTCCTTTGTGTCCACAGCAAAGACAGGGCTGAGCTCAGGCTGTGGGATGCAGGAACTGCCACGTGTCTGCCAACAGCTGCTGGGGAGTGTTCAAGAGAGGGCCCATAATGGGGAGAAGAGGGGAGCTGGATGGAAAGCTCCAGCCCTCAGATAGCAATGGCAAATGTGACTTAGAGAAATGGTGGTGGTAAGCATTTGAGAGACCCTACGCATGGCTGTGCTGCTGCATGGACAGCCTGGTTTGTAATGCTGTGTTTTTAAGACCTTGAGGCAATGAGGAAGAAATTCCAATACAGCTTTGCAGTTGTGGATATGGAAATGAAACAAGTAGCCCCTGTTGTTGGTGTGGGTGCAGAGCCATAGAGCAGCAGCCGCAGAAGGGAGCCTTTGTGACAGGATTCACTGGCATTTTAGGAAGTGGTTTCACCACTTGTTTGATGTAGTCTAACCCTGTGCTGCTGCTGGTAAGGGGCTGAGCCAGCTGTGCGCTACCAGCCCTCCTCCTACAAGTGCAAAGAGCTGCTTCTAATGGCACAAAGATGCTTTTTTGGGGGCAAGGAGGGGTGCAGCCTGTGCTTTGGGAACAGTGTCCTGTGCTGCCTGCCCAGGTAACAAGAGGGAAGGAAGCAAGAGGATGCAGCTGGGGTGTGGGAGGGCCTCACTTTCAACATGTCACAGTGACATGGCAGTTTTAGAAGAGTTTTTTTGGTGGGGGAAAAACCATTCTTGCAGCCAGCAGCTTATGGGCTATAACCAAGCAGACATTGACTGAGCCAGCCAGGAGAAACTCCAAGTGCAGAAGCAAAAATGAGCTGCTACCAGTTTGTCTCCAAGTGATGCCCTACATCCTACAGGGGGGGTTGGACTCGATGATCTCTGCAGGTTCCTTCCAATCCCTACAATTTTGTGATTCTGTGATCCATGAGAGCAGCTTTGTGCCAGCAGCAGGGCAGCAGCAGCTCGGCCCTGCTGGGCACAGGGATGTGGTAGGGATGCCATGCTCTGCCTCGGATGGCAGCCCCAGGAAAACACCCCATCCCAGGAAAACACCCATCAGAACCACATCCTGCTCCCCATGGGCGGGCTGGACAAGGTGAGATGGGCAGTTGGGTTTGCTGCAGTTTGCTGCCACCGTTGTCATGGATGTGTGGCACTGCGATGGCAAACACAGCTGCTGCTTTCAAAGCCTTTCACCCTGCTGCTGCCTGCAAGAGTGTTACAGCTTTCTGGTGTTGGCCACGGAGCTGGAGAGTGTGTGAGCCTTTCGTGAGCCTTCCTCCCAGCTCCACGAGCAGTGCAAGCATTCAGGGTTAGGCCAAACCACGGCAGAGCTGAGGATGCTGCAAAGATGAGTGGCTGTGGGTTGAGGGGAGCCCTCCCTTTTAGGGCCCCCTCCCCGCCCTTGGTGTGCAGGTTTCACCCCACTGGGTGAAAGAGCCCCCGGCCCTGCTCAGCTCCGTGCTCTGAGCCGTTGGGGCCGTTGAATTTGAACCTAGTCTGAGCCGTTGGGCCACTGGCTGCCCTGCAGCCCCACTCATAGCACCAATGGATGCCCCTCAGGCTGCCCGGCCCTCCAGCCATCCCTCCCTGCTCCAGTTCTTCAGAAGCCTCCTTGGGTACTCACGAAGCTTGCTGGGGGCACAGGAGCCCAGAGCAGAGCAGCAGGAGCAGGGTGCTGCTGTAGGGCCCCGCAGCTGGCAGACTGAGCAGGTTGAACCCAGCCATGGGGGGATCCAGGAGCACTGCGAGGATGAGGAGGGAGACAGCATGGAGATGTTGCTGGGGGAGCTGCGGGAGGTCAGCCTGCAGGGATCACTGGGCAGCAGCACCAGCAGGAGCTGCCTGACCACCGGCACCAGTGATGTGGAAATGGCAGTGGAGGGCAATGGGATGGAGGCTCCTGGTGGCACCGTGGCCCTGCAGAGCGATGGGGCGGCTGGAGAGGAGAGAGGGGCTGCAGATGATGCCGTCGTTGACAGAGCTCTGGTGATGTAAGAGTGGGGGGATGGCACGGGGTTACACTCATTTCAGTGCCATACAGGCGGTGCTCTACAGAGGGCTGCCTGTTTGGGTACTATGAACAGCCAGCAGCACATTTCACTCGGCAGCGCTGAAATGAGTCCAGCATTCCCAGGAAACATGTGCAGCATTTCGGCTGTGTCCAGTAGGCAGGTGTTCCCTGGAGCTCCCCAGGTTGCTCCATGCAGACTGCAGCATCGAGCAGCAACCTGTGCAGCACCAAGGAACCTGTACTGCAGCCCTTTGCAGTCCTTGGCCTCTCCAGGCTGCTGACAAGGGTTGCAGTTGGATTCTGGGTCACAGACAGCAGTGCTGCTCCTGCCTTCCTTCAATTGTCCTAATTGCTTTGCCTCCAGGGATGAGTTCCTTCAAGGTCTGAGTGCTGCTGATGAAGACACCTGCTCTGCAAGCCCTGAGCTGATGTTTTCAATGGATCTTGACACTGAATGGGAGAAAGGGCATCTCTTGAAAGGTGAGAGGCTTAGAGAGAGAGAGGACTCCCTTCTCCCTCACCCCTGGCTGCTGGGATTGCCCAGGCAATGGTACCTCTCTCCTGCCTGTATGCTGCTTTCGGGGGCCTGAGCCTTGGGGCTGCTGGCTGAATGCTGGCATTGAGGCTGTGTGTCAGAGGACATCAGCCAGGGGATTGCCCTGGGAGTCAGCTCACTGGGGTGGTACCCAAAGGCCATGGCAGAGAGCACAGAGCATCCCTCTCATCCAGCAATGGGAGGGATGGGGCACTGCAGACTGTTTCCCACAGTCCCAGAGCCACGTGTGCCTGGCTGCTCTCCCATCACTGGAGGACCTGGACCTGGCACTGTGTCCTCTGTCAGACGTTTGCTTGCTGTGCCACAGACAGCACAGAGGAAGGGAGGTGGCAGCCCTGGGGAGTCACTGCTTTCTTCGGATTTGTTTCAAACAGCAAAGCAGGGTGCAGGATCCCCAAAAGCTGCGCTGTCCCTGTGGAACAGGTTCATCAGTGTGAACAGACACCAGTGGACTTTGCGTAAGGTTGGTGAGAAGACGGAGTGTGGGGCTAAGGGAAGGACTGCTGTGCAGTGCCCTCAGGTCTGAGAAAAGGTGTAGGGATGGATCGGTGTAGGGGATGCTAACAATGACCACTGGCATTGCCAAGGCACAAATGCATCAGATGTGGGGGCTTTCGGGGTTGTTTCTGAGGTTCTTTTCTACCCCTGTATCCTTCCTGGCTGAGCAAGCAATGATCTCAGAGCTGTGATGGGCAGCACATGGAGGGGTGTTGGGGTATTTGCTGAGAAGAGATGAATGTCCCCACAGAAGTAGAGACAATGGCAAAAGCCAGGCCTTTGGGGTTCCCTTCTTGGTCTTACAGACCCTACTGTGACCATGGCTGTTTAATTGGGGCCAGGGGTCACCCAGCAGCTCTGGAGAAAGTTGCATATGCAAAATTAGCTTGCTGTCTGCCAATCCCATTGCAATAGCTCCTGGGCTTCCCCGACACATTGAGCCAAAGTAAAGCAAGAGATGACCCCACAGAGTGGATCCTCGTGTGAAATGGGGTCTGAGCAGGGATGCTAATGATTACCCATAAAATCTGCACCAAAGCAGGAGCAAACCCAGAGGAGGCCATAGCAGGAGGGGGATGGGTGTCTGCAATCCGGACAACAAAACCTGGGCGAGTTTGCAGCAGAGCAATGAACCTGAAGTGAGCAGAGCCTCCAGCTGCTCTGCCAGGGCTCTGCGAGGTGCTGAGAAAGCAGCAGGGCCTGGTAGAGCTGCAGGAAGGAGCCGGGGTGGTGGGAGGGTTCGTGGTTTAATGCAGCTGGAGGATGGGTGTGGGGTGTGAGCAGCACCATGTGGATATCGGGCAAATCCGGCCCCCTCTCTGCTAGCGGGTGCAGTGCACCAAATCAGCTCCTGGAGAAACGGTCGATTCTTTGTTCCAGACAGCAGAGATGGACTCTGGGTCAGTGTTTTAACAGCAGTTCGAGGAGCTGCCTGAGCCTGTTTGTAAGTTTTTGAAGCAGATCAACAACCAGCATAACTGTACTGCAGTACAGTACTTCTCTGCCAGGGAAAACCGAGGGGACGAGAACTAAAGGAGCAGTTTTGGGAGTCCAGAGACCACAGTCCTGCTGGGCTTTGTCATTCACTCCCTGTGTGAGCAGGCCCAGCCTCTGCCCTGCCTGCCTCAGCTTCCCATCCAGACCAGAAGACATCCTCTGCATTGCACGCAGCACTTCTGAGACCTATGGATGGCAAACTGGGGTGGTGGCAGAGGGCAGACGTAGCATTGTTTTGTCAAGATCAGCCACTGGAAATAGCATTACATCAGAATCCAATTGCACGGAGAAGTTTTGCCCACTCTAATGTCTTTTTTCTTCAATCCTTTTGCTGCAGGCTCGTGCCTCGAGGAGCTCGATAGAGCTGGAAAGCGAGGAACAGCCGCTCCTGCGGGCAGATGAGAGCAGCCCTACGAGCCCCGAGCTCCCCGTCCTGCCCGCAGAACCTTCTGCAGCGCTGCCGGTGTCCAGGTGGGCTCCTCCTCCTGCGATGGGAGCATCCTTCCGCCGGGGCCGCGTCGGTCCGTCCCGCCTGGGTCTGCCGGTCCTCAGAGCCGTGCGGAGGGATCCCCTCGCAGCACCAGGTGGCACTCTCGGACTTCAAACCGAGCCGGGACAACGCAGCCGAACGCCGCAGACGCGCGTGGGAGCGTGCGGGGCCGCGCCGGCTCTCCGCGCCCGGCTGGGGGGCGGCGGGGATGGAAGGATGGGAACAGCGACCCCCAGAGGCGGGGGGATACGGAGCCGTGGTGCTCATGCAGCGCACAGCCGATGTGCTGACGGCGGGTCCGGCACAGCTGGGCTGGCTCTGCACTCTGGATGGAGAGAATTGGAGGATTCAGGCAAAGCACTTGTCGTGTGCACCAGATTTATCCAGTTTTTATTACTATTATTATTATTATTATTATTATTATTATTATTATTTTACAAAGAACCCAGCAGATCCAGGCCTTGTTCTTACAGCAGCTATTGGAGCTGTTGGGTGCTCATCAGACAGCTGGGTCCAGAAAGCCTGGCATACACCAGCTTGTCTCTTTCAGGAGTTGGAAGGGCTGTCAAGCTGTGATTTGTTTAGGACAAAAGAACTGAAAATACACCTTCTGCTTTACACACCTGGTGTATAAATATGGGAAGGGCAGTTCTGTGCGTCCCTACCAGAGGGCTGATGGTGGGGTGTGCAGGCTGAGATCATCACCTCAGACCCCTGCCTATGGGAAGTGAAACCCAAACCGCTCTCCTCATCTTTGTCCCAGTGCAGAACTGTTGCTCCCAGAACAATCCCTTCAAATTTTCCCCGTAGATCCAGAATATTTCAGTACGCAGAGTTGCCATCCTTTCCCATACTGTGGTCTCCTGTCTTTTTCCTAATCTCCCGGGAAAGCCAAGCCCATCACCTCCTGAGTGGCAGGGCTTTGCAGGCACAGTGACCACCTCTTTGACACACTTCTTTCTTCTGCCAAGGTTTTCCAAAAGCAGAGCAGCCGCTGGTGGCTTTGGGAGAAGCCAGGCAGAGCTGGGAGCAAACAGAGCAGGAATGCCTGGAGAAGGCTGAGGTCAGTCTGGAAGGGAAAAACACGATTGGTGCCCTGATGTGGGAGCTGGGAGCCACTGTGGTGCTCTGTGCTCATTGCTTGTTGTCACCTGGTCAGAGGGGGTCAGGCTGCGCGCCACCTCCTCCAACAAGTCAGGGCCAGTGTGCTGAAAGCTGCACAGTGCCAGCAGCACAGATCTGTTTAGATAAAGCTGTTCATTTCTGCAGAAACAGCCCTGCCTTTCAATGAGGTTTTGTATAAGATGGGCCTGGTTTTAAGGCTGTGCCTCTGAGCAGTCTGGCTCTGCACTCCCTGCCTCAGTTTCCCCTCTCCACGAGGGGTTGCATGCCACCTCCTGCTCCCTACAGCCCTGCAGGGACTAATGCCACGTTCCTAAATACTCCTGATACAGAGCTGATGAGGGCTCAGGGCAGTACCAGCGCTCCAACCCCAGATGCTGCTTTTGCTCCCATCACCCAAGTGTTGGTGCCAATGGGACAGGCAGAGAGAGAGAAAAAAACACAGCTTCCTCCACTCCATCCTGGGGCAGCTTTCCACCTCCCCCCCCCTCAAATTTCTGTCCTTGTCCTCAGCAGCCACAATGGGGGGATGGGAAATCCCGAATATTGTTGGAGATCTGAGTGCAGAGGCGGATTCTTTGTTTCACGCCGTGCGAGTTTCATCGAGTTGTTTGCTCTGCTGTTTTTTTTCTTTTTCTTCCTCTCCTCGCTGCAGTGTGTGGGCAGGCACACGTTTTCAGTGTGTAGGAAGGCACCTGGAGTTCTATAGGGTGCCAGGTTCTCTCTGTCCCTCTCCTATCCCCTGGGAGCTCTGGGGTGTGAGGCTGATCCCCAGGCCCTCAGCAGCTCCAACGAGTCTCTGCAGACAGGTTCCCATGCACAGACACGATCTATGGGCAGGTGAGGTGGGGGGATGCCTGGAGGCCTGAGGTCAGCTGGGATGCTTCTGGTGTCTCCAAATGGAGTTGGAGGCTTCAAGAGGCTTGGTTTCATGCTGATGATTGCAGCACAGCTCCAGCACCCCATGGCTCTCAGTGGGAGATGCTGGAGGTGCCCAGAGCTGCTCAGCTGTGTCCTCCCTCTGTCCCCAGATGCAGCACCTGCAGAGGTGGGAGCAGCCCCATGGAGCCACACCGCCACTGTCCTGCATCAGTGCTTCCCCTCTGCTGTGCCCAACCCGCCCGGGAGCCCCGTGCTTCGTCTTCCTCCTCTTCTTTCCTTTGTGTTCATCATTCACGTGCACAACACGTTTCCTTTCTGCTTTCTCCCTTTCCTGTTCCTTGGAGAAGGCCTGTGTGTCTCACCACGCCCATGGGGTGGACAAGTCTGGCCTGAGTTGGTTTCAATTGAACATTTTGTGTGAATGAGCTCTTCTTGCTTCTCCCTCTTTGCTCTCAAGTTCCCTTATTAAACAGTTCTCTGCTGAATTCGTTTTTCTCCTTTCTTTCTTTCCTTCCTCCTTCCAGATTTTTTCATGTCTTCCACTTTCCTCTCTGTAGTTTTTAAGGTGTTTTATGGATTAATTTTTTAATTTGGGGGTTAGAAAAGGCAAAGGAGAGGTGTGATCCTTCGGCCCACAATGGTCCCCTGACTGTTAAAGGTGACAATCTTGCATGCAGTTTTGGAGTGGGGTTGGAGGACCCCCGTAGAGGAGAAGAGCCTCTGCTCTTCATCTTCTGTTTGAGCACACAGGAGAAACCATGCGAGCAGGGCTGGAGGAGCTGCTGGCAGCCCAGCTCCTGCTAATCTGGGAATTGTATGCCAGGAAGCACACACCCAGCTGACCTGCCCCAGACAAAGCCTGCCGTGTCCGCACCGGCTCTCCAGGCGTTCCCTGCACGCCGTGGGGTTATTTCAGAGTTATCCCAGCATGGGTTCCCTGCCCAGACTTCCACCTGCGTTGGCTGCAGGGTTGGAGCGCATTGCTCCCAGCATGGCTCACATGTTCTCCTTCTGCAAAATGGGGCTGTGCCATCTAAACTCTCCTGGCCGACCTGAAATAACAGTGGTGAGAAGGGGATCCCCTCCCTGCTCGTCGTGCAGGTGTTCGCTTTGGACCCTAACGATGTCAAATTAACCAGGGCCATCATTACTTTCTCTGGGTCGAGCAGAGCTATTGCGTCAATAGAAACATCCCACATCACCTCTCTGGGTAGCAGAACTCTGCGTCCTTGATGTGTCCTTAGAAACCTTGAGCTCCAAATAAACTTCTGCGGGATTTCCTGTAGAAAAGCACTGTATAAAATGTTAGCGGTGTCTTAGCGGTGCCCCCTCTGCCAGGTCGTGTGTCACACACCAGCACCGGGCGAGGAGATGCCAGGAGGAAGGGTTTGCCTCTGCTGAGTCACTTGGGTTACACACACTGCCCTGGGAAGCAGCTGCTGTCATATGCTAAATGAGGGCTGCTAGAGCTGACCAAGTCATTTCCGCAGCGTTCAAGCATCCCTGGGTAGCGCAGCTCTCATCCCCGTGCCATTCCCACTGTGTGGGTGGGAATTGGAGGGGTCTGCATGGAGCCACGCTTGGCACTGCGTGTGGTGGTGCTGGGAGCGGGCAGGGTGCGTGCTGCTCTCCTCTATGAGGGCAGAGCTGGGCCCACCGCCACGGTGAGCAGCTGCACGCTCACGTGGTGCTCCCACATCCTGCACAGCGTATTTCAAGAGGTGCTGTTTACAAACACCAACACGGTGCAAGAGCAAGTGCTGCAACCTGCACGGCATGCAGGAGCCTCTGCAAGCCTCTCTGCTTTCCTCACGCTGATGGGAGCTGCTGCAACGTGGCGGTTCTATCGCTGCTGCAGACACGGATGTGCCATGGGAGCACTCCGGCGCTCCATCCAACTTCCTGCTCCTTCCCGTGTGTCAGTGCAGCCCTGCTGTGAGCTGCGTGCTCTCACTGCTTATTCCCCAGCCCTGCTCTGCTTTGCACGGGATGCTGCACCGACACGAGGTGAATTAGGCGGCCCTGTGCCCGAAATAACTTCCCATCTGAGGTTTCCCGGTCTCACAAAGCTGTTGTAAAGTTGAGCTAAGAACGAGAGATGCGCAGATATTCCAACAATATGAGCCAACATAATAGGATATTTTCAATGAAATATTCATCTGGATCCTCAGCCTGAGGAAGGAATGGAGCTCTGCTGGCAGCTGTGGACTCACACTAATTTATTTTTTATTACGACCCATTTGTATGATGATGGCAGCTGAGAGGTTCTAGAGATCGCCTCCAGCCTAAGATCCCATTATTTCAGGTGCTCTAAAACCGCAGAGCAAGTAGACAATCTGTGCCCCAAATCTGAAACCACTAAGGATGTAGCCTGGTATTTTTCAAAAACAAAGCTGCTCCAGCATGCGCAGCGCTTCCTCTGCACGGGGCATCTGCTGAGCTCTTTCAGATGAGCCTCAAAAGTCCCCTCTCAACCACTGGAATCGCTGTGAAAGCAATTGTCATTTAACCAACAAAGAGGGCTCAGAGCCCCGGCCCAGACGGGAGAAATGTTGGAGAAACAAAGAGCCCATTTTCGAGGACATCGTCCATCTTGTGCGTCCGATGAGAGAAGTGATTCAAGCCCTGGGGTGAGCACCCGTGGGCAGGAATTTCTCATGGGCTGAATCCTCCCCTCCCTCCTCCGGGATGCAGCAATGCCCACTTTTATATGCAGATATAATTGCTGCTTTACACGCAGACTTGAATCCCTTTGCAAATGTAGGATGTGGGGGCATCTATCCCTGCTTGCCCCAACCACAGCCCTCCCATAGGGACACGTTGGCTTTGTGGAGTGGGACACACGAACCAGGGATGTCCCAGTATGGAAAGCTGAGCTGGAGGTGCACCTGGCTGGGAAAAGGAACAAGTGGCCCCATCAGAGGAACCCAC